GTTTACTCTGTGTTTGTGTGTAATTGAATTACAATCGTAGTCTCCATCATTTCCTTGGAATTCTTTTAATTCCAGCTGCGTTACTCACCGTGTCGTTAAGATCACGTATTTGCAGTCGTTTCCTGAACCTCACAGTCCAATGACTGTACGTTATCTAAATGCGCTAGAACGCCTTTGGAATGTGGAGGAACCGGTAAACTGCTCTGCAGCGACTGCTCGATGTTATCACCTCAGACGGTCAGCCCCGGATAAGGCACTGGCCTCCTAAGCCAGGGATTGTGGGTTCGAGTCCCATCTGGGGTGTTTGTTTTATTCCCAATTTCCTTTTGGGATCAATAGAGTGTTCTCATCGCAGAATCTTTTCACAAACACAGCTTCACATTCTCCTCCTTCGTTCCACACACAGGGCCCCACGGTGCCCCCCCTCCCACCAGGAGGCCTGGGAGATGACGAGGAAGATACGTACGAGGAGGCGGAGCCTTATCTACCGGCCAACTCAACCGTGTCAAACACAGGTATTTTCACACAAAACTGGAATAAGAACCCAAAATGATCGGCCGACTCAGCAGACTGACCTCCATCCCCAGAGAAGGAGGAGTCAGACAGCAGCCACTACGAGTCCTACGGCGAAGAAGACGACGACGACGATGATGAGGGGGAGGGGCTCATAAAGGACCGCGCCCACTACCTCCAGTGGAGTTCCTCTCAGCCCTGTCTGAGGCCCATCCCGGAGTCCCGCCTCTGCGGATACCTGTGGAAGAGGAAGTGGCTGGGACAGTGGACCAAACAGCTGTTCATCATCCGCAACAACACCCTGCTGGTGAGACGCTGACGTGTCTTTAGGCTAGTGTTTCCCGCTCTTTTTTGAGCCATGGTATATGTCATCAAGAAAAAACCCACGACACAGAACCAAACAAAAATCTCACAAAAAGTATACGTAATAAAATAAATATAATAATCTTCTAGTTTTAATGACCTCATAATTGACTAAAATCGCAGCCTGTTTAGTTGAAGACGACTCTGATGTACCGGCAGGAATTGAAGAAAGACACTCAAAAAGATCTTCTTCAGCAGCTCTGATTATCTTTTTTTTTAGTTTTCAAAGCCATCAGCTGCCACCTAGTGGAAGAGTGTTTGATTGTCCGGCCTTTTATGCTTTGACTAGCAAAGAAAAATTATATACAATAAATACATAACAGTTTTCAGCCCGATTAAGTGAAATCGGAAAATGTAATGGCACACCTAACTGTAGTGCCTACTGCAACCACTAGTCTATGTTTATCACTCCTTAAGAGTCCGAATTTTTTTTTCATTTTTTAACTTCTGTTAAAAGTTCGGAGTTTTGGATGGTTTTAAATGAACACGTTGAGAAGTTTGGTTTTCCTCGTTCGTGTTTTTGGACTTTGACTCTTTGTCTCTTTGACTCTTTGGTCAGTGTTATAAATGCGCTCGAGATCTGCTACCTCACCTGGAGCTGAACCTTCTGGGGTGCCAACTTGTCTACAAGTTGAAGAACAACGGCAAAATCCAGCACCAACTCAAACTGGTTCTGCTGAGCTCAGAGACCCTGGTGCTGGGCTACAGCAGCTTCCAGCAGGCAGAGGAGTGGAGGAAGGTAAACCGTCGTTACAATTCCAAAAAATAAAATAAAAAATTTAATTTATATCGTTGACTTTTTATTGTGATGCATATCGTTTCGCGATCAGATACGAACTCCCCCCGACCCCAAGGGGGCGCACAATGAGATACCGGGGGACGGGGGGGCATGAGGGGCTTCCAATGTAATATAGCACGCTGGACATAAGTGTTCCATTGCTGCGATGCTTGAATGACGACAAGCCTCCAGTCACTAGGTGGCAGCAACGAGGATTATACGATTATAACTGTTCTGTTTGCAGGTGATAGAGGAGGTGAGCATTGGGAGAGACGTGGAGAGTCATCGATCGTCCTCCCTGGTGAGGTCAGAGCAGCAGCTGTCCTGCAGGGTGAGACACACACACACCTCGCAGCTTCTTTTTGTTCTGTGCAGTATTTCTAACTTGTTTTTTCACTTCAGTCCAGTACAGTCTGTAGTGATTCCGAGGAGGAAAGACCCCCGCCTCATTATACCCTCCCAAAGGAAAAAGACAAAGACAGAGGTATTGAAAGTGAAGGAAACGTGCCACGATATGTCGATGATATTCCCACTTCCGGAGCGCTGACTGTTTGGACTTGGTGCTCCAGGTTTCCTGAACGTGCTGATGAACTGTCAGTGGCAGAGTTTACTGTGTCGTGTTGAGGCCGGTTCGCTCAACATGTTTGGAGAGGCCGAGGAGAAGGAGCAGCAGTCTCCCCAGTACACCATCCAGCTGAGGGGGTGTGAGGTTCGGGCCGGGCCTGATACCGACCGCTCGTACAGAATCGCCCTGAGCCTACTGGGCGACCAGGTGGCTATGCTGGAGGTGAGAGGACGCGGAAAAAATACCCATACATTGAAATATCGTAAAAAAGTAATTATTAATGTGATGTTTAACAATTCCTGCACCGTCCTCACTTGCTTCTCTGCCACTCCTGACATCCTCACACGTGACTTTTTTTCCCCTCCCGTTATCTCAGCAAAAAAATGCTAACGCTAATATAGGCCTAACCTCCATCTTCTCCTTTTTTGGACTCATTCACTGATAAATGTGAATATTTCCGTCTCGCAGTTCAGTAGTTCCGAAGAAAAACAGCATTGGCTGACCCTGCTGCAGGAAGCTGTCGATGGTTACGGCCTCCGCGATGGGACGACGCAGAACCAAACAGGTGTCGCTTTGAGGTGAGCCGATCTAGAGTGGGAAAATATCCATACATTGAAATATCGTAAATATTTCAATTCACGATATCGTATTGATATTCTACATAAAGTAATTATTAATGTGATGTTTAACAATTCCTGCACCATCCTCACATGCTTTTCTGCCACTCTTGACATCCTCACACATGACTTTTTTCCCCTCCCATTATCTCAGCAAAAAAAATGCTAACGCTAATATAAGCCTAACCTCCGTCTTATTCTACAGAAATGTATCCATCTCAAATATTCAATGTAATGTAATTATATTTATAATTTGTTTTCTTTGATCCTCAGTGGGCTGCAGACCCGTAGGTTCCCCACCTCCAACACCTACATGGACGATCCCTTCCACTTGAGCCGACCCTGCTCGGACCAGCCCATCTACTCAAACACAGCCATACTACAGAACATGGTGTCTACATACATACATACATACATTCATTCATTATAATCAATACATGCTTAGCTAGTTTAGTTAGAGATGATGTTTCAGGGAAAGGCAGCAGCGGCGGCGGAGATTCTCATGGACGCAGGCATGTGGTTCAATAAGGTAGTGTAGGAGGCGGAGGAAGGAGGGGTTCGTGGGTGATGAGGAGGATGTTGAATGGGATTCTTTGTTGACGGGGAAGTGAGTCGATGTTTTTCAGAACTGTGTTCTGGGGTGTAGGAGGGGCCCGGGGCCGCAGTCCAGAGTCGGAATTGTTTTACATCTACTGAAATTTTGTGGGAACTTTGGCGAGCTTTGAACTAAACTGTTGGGTTGTGAATAGATGAATTCAGAGAGGGGGCGCTGTTCTGCGGGTGAAATAAAACAATTTTTTCTTCACTTTTAGCTCCAAACATCTCAGGAACCAGGATGTCGCAGCTCTGTGTCGTCCAAGGACTCGGTGACCTACAGCAACGCCGTCTTCACCTGTCACAGTGAGTCGAGTCGGGTCAGGTCGGGATTTTCAGACGAGGACGGCAGAAAATGCCCCCCAAATTTCATCCACCTGCTGTGTCTTCAGACAGGAAGAGTGCAGATGTGGAGCGCCACGTTCAGAAGTTGGAGCTGACCGGGAAGAGCCCCGTGCAGCTGAGAGCCGGCTCTGAGATCAACCTGACGTCAGCTGGGAAACAAAACAAACGCACCTCTTTCAGACGGTCACTGGCTGTCTGTACCGAGCGCGCTCAGGTCAGTCTGGAGGTCCAGGGTGGCGCTGGTGGTAGATTTTTATTGTCTTCGATTTAAGTTTACGAAGGTGCCAACACTGGGAGGGCGAACCGTGTGTTGACCACCAGCGCTTAGAACCAGATTTGCTGACATCTGCTGTCTGTTTGACATCCGTTGATCCAGGCAGGTTTTCTGAACCCGCTGCTGCGACGGACGGCATCTGCCAAAAATTCCCTGAGACGTGCGCCGTCTGCGCTGTTCATCGAACACGGAAAAGTTTTTCAAAGAAGAAAGGTCAGATTGACATATATCTGGGTTATATATAAGCGATATCACAGTGAAGGTTATGCTTATGTTAGCGATAGCATTTTTTTGCCGAGATAATGGGAGGGGGAAAAGAAGCAGAAGAAAGTGGCAGAGAAGCATGTGAGGACGGTGCAGGAATAGATGTGAATGGAATAGATGTGCAGCCGTAGTGACAGATGGGTTCAGAGAGTCCATTTTCAGAGGTGACAATTTGATTGTCGTTGTTGATGATTTTGTTATTGTGTTTTACAGGAATGGGAAACCAAAGCTGCTGCTTGACACCAGCTCGTCTTTGCACCGTCACGTTCGAACAACCGTCGACTCACATTTTTGTGTTTCTTTGATTTTTATTTTCTGTTTTTCAGTCGTTGACACGTGAACATGTAACGCATTCCGACTTGTTCTTTTGAAGTAATGCATACGTTTATTATTAACAGTCAGTCAAACTAGCGTGCACATTCAACAGTGTTGAAGTGAGATAGTTTGCGTGCGTTAACGTTTCACAGGTTTGGTTTTTTTCCCCCCTCTTTTCACTGTAATGAAATACTCACTGGTTTGAATAGGAACAGGAAGCACATTTGTATGATTTTTTTTCCTTATTTACCACAGGGTTGTGGATGTGGTTATGTTGTCAAAATAATAAATAATAATAAAAAAATCTGCACCGTGTTTTTATAACCTGTAAATATTACTAAGAATCATGAGTCATATTTCCTGTAACTGCTCTGTAACATTTTAATATTTTCTAAAAAAAAAAAAGTGCACATGTGTCTTTTAATAATGGATTAAACATTGATTTGTAACATTTAAAAACAAGCCTGAACTCATTTGTGTCCGCTCATTAATGCAATTCTTTATTTTGTGAAATAACTTCACAGCAAACGTCACAGGAAATGGCTTCTAACAACGTACACGACACGGAATAACCACGCTTTTAAGAGTTCTTCTCGTAGTTGTACAGTAGTGCTTACGTCATTAAGGGAACAATTCACTTTATTTATTAAATACATTAAACCTTTAAATGTTTCGCGCTTTTTTTTTACTCATGTTTAGCACATTACCCTCCGCTCCGCGGCAGCGCAACGCCAGAAACCTCACAATGTCAGCCGTTACTCCGACGCCGAAGAAGAGTCGCGGAAGTGGGCACAGATTATCTGACGTCATCGGGCTAGCCAGCTAACAAAGACAACTGACGGTCTTGACCAACGATTCACCCAGGGTTACAGCTCAGAAAAACGCCCGGACCGAAAGGTAACACGTCCGTGTTGTTAGCTCAGAATTATTCGTAACTCTTGTGACGGTGTCCGCTATGAATTGTGGCCACGCGAGGCCTGTTGAAACTTGGCTGTTAAGCGCAGTCACAAGTGTAGCATTTAGCCGGTTAGCTGCGGCGTTAACATATGAGCTAACTGGAGGAAATTAGGAGGTTTTGAGCGGAGAGATAAGTGTCAGCTGATGCGGGGAGGGGTGGGAAATCGCGTAAATTATCGTTCACCATCGCTGTCATCGTGGTTCACGCTCCGAATCGAACCTATCGTAGCCTCTGTGTGTTTGTTGTATATTGTGCTAAATGTTTCCGTCCGTTTGTGCTAATTTGAATTAATAGATATGACACCAGAAAAAGAGTGAGACCTCGACTCAGGGTGTGGACACTCCCTGAACTCTGACTCGGGATTAAAAACCTCCGCTTTATCTTGTTTTTGTTTGTTTTTTTCTTCCATAACTCACCAGTATCACCATGACAGCCGCACCTTATAACTACTCCTACATCTTCAAGTACATCATCATCGGTGAGTATCTATCTCCGTTAAAAACACGGTGAACTGTAATTTGTACAATAAATTACATACAATATTAAATACCAAATTATTGTCTCTAAACGTGTTTTTTCGTTAATAGAATTCCTAAGTTTTACTTAAAAACATGAAAACATTTTGTGATAATTGACACATTAGTCGCAGCCCTCACGTGGGTCACGGGTCTCTGGGGTGTAAAATTTTCACACTTTACGGCTTATTTATTCCAAAAAAAAACCAAAACTTTTTTTTTTATCCATGATAAAAAATATCTTTAGAAGATTCAGTAATATCCGTCTTCTACTGATAAAGTTTGATAAGTAAATATTATGTACAAACCGTCCAGACACAGTGGCCATTTTTTCAAGTCTGAATATGTATTGAATATTTTTGAATTATACAGTATATTTGTTATATTTTGCATTTCTACTCTAAATAATTGGCTCCATTTCCATAAACAGAACCGTGTGTTCCCAGAGGGCAATTCTCAGTCGTGTTGTTGTCGTTGTTGTTGTTGTTGTTGTTGTTGTTGTTGTTGTTGTTGTTCCTGCAGCTGAAGGCAACACTGTGTTACTGTTAGAAGCTAACCTTTAGCTTGCAGCTCTTCAACGTGTTTCCTTGTCTTTTCCTCCAGGTGACATGGGCGTAGGGAAGTCGTGTTTGCTGCACCAGTTCACGGAGAAAAAATGTGAGTAATCCCTCATTACCGAACATAACATGAGAAAAAAACGACACGTGGTTAGGGGGAACAAAAAGCGCTAATTAATTAATTACCGGCAAAGCTAGCTCAGAGTCGGAGGTTTAACGAAAGCCAGAATGATCCTCAGAATCCAGATTCTTGTCGGACCTGCACGGACACGTCGTTGACAGACCGCAGTGTTACTTCACTGTTGTTGACGTCCACGGCCTCCACTGCTGAATGGATATTTCACTTCCTGTCTGTCGTTGTGTGTGTGTGTGTGTGTGTGTGTGTGTGTGTGTGTTTGTGTAGTCATGGCAGACTGTCCTCACACCATCGGGGTGGAATTCGGGACGAGGATCATGGAGGTGCACGGTCAGAAGGTGAAGCTGCAGATATGGGACACGGCAGGACAGGAGCGCTTCAGGGCCGTGACCAGGTCGTACTACAGGGGGGCCGCGGGGGCCCTCATGGTCTACGACATCACCAGGTAGTGAGTTTTTTTAAAATTGAATATGTTGAATAAGTTAGTTATATATTTATTATTTAATATTTAGCAAACATTAAAATACGTGTCATTACTTGCTAACCGCTAACTTTTTTCCCCCCGCTGTGTTGTTAGGAGAAGTACATACAATCATCTCAGCAGCTGGTTAACAGATGCCAGAAACCTGACCAACCCAAACACAGTGAGTGTGGTCACTAACAGCAACACATTAGAATGTATATTTATTTATGTATTTGTAACGCACAGCATCGAGCACATTCAGCTGCCCAGTCATTCGGCCCATAAAATATATAGAAGTGGTCCAGGTGTTTCCTCTACAGTAAAATGTCAATGTGTTAGCGGAAAAGTATGTATATGTGTATGTACTTAGCAAGTAAATGTGCGTAACTATATACTACATATATGTATATATATGTGTGTGTGTATATATGTATATATATATATATGTTTGTATATATGTATATATGTGTGTATATGCATATATGTGTGTATATATGTATATATGTATGTGTGTATATGTTTATATGTGTATATGTATGTACATATGTATGTGTATATGTACGTATATATGTTTATATGTATGTACATATGTGTGTGTATATGTACGTGTATATGTGTATATGTATGTACAGTATATATGTACGTATATATGTACGTATATATGTACATATATATCTTTATATGTACGTATATTTGTATGTGTATATGTATATGTGTGTATATATGTATGTGTATATGTGTATATATTTACATATATGTGTATATATGTATATATATACACACACACAAATAAGTGTGTATATATATTTACGTGTGTGAGTATATTTTTTTTTTTTTCCGATGACAACCTTATGCTAATTATTTGAGGGTTATGGAAAATAAGTTCCTTCCAAAACCACTTCAGAGTTCAGTGGATAAAAGCCGTGTGTGTGTGTGTGTGTGTGTTGACCTGTGAAACTCTACTGCTGGGTCTGGAACCACCGACGCCTCAGATCAGCACAGTAATATACCCATGTGTTCTGATGAATAACTAATGCTGTTTCTCAGGTGATCATTCTCATTGGGAACAAGGCTGATCTAGAAGCTCAGAGAGACGTGACGTACGAGGAGGCCAAACAGTTTGCTGAAGAGAACGGTGAGAGAGTGTGTGTTAGAGAGTGTGTGAGAGAGAGAGTGTGTGTGAGAGAGAGAGTGTGTGTGTGTGTGTGAATCGGCAGGAATTGAAAATGAAATGTTGCAGTGATATAAGATGACAGACTGACTGACTGCTGGTATCTGCTTTCTGTCGTTGACCAGGTTTGCTGTTTCTGGAGGCTAGCGCTAAGACGTGAGTACACACATCAACACACACACACACACACACACACCTGAGACCTCCTCCTTAATTTACCATAATAGTCTCTAACATTAAAGCTTGAATCATTATCTTCGATGTGTAACAGTCGATCGTCTGACTCTGTTTAAGGTTCCCGTCTGTTTAACTATTTAATCCACGTAATGAACGAGGATCAGCTGCGCAGTTGGATTGTTCAATATTTAAGGAGGACAGAGGAATTATACATGAGGTCAGAGACGGCAGTAACGGTCTCTAACCACTCCACCCTCATTTTTAAAAATGTATTTCTAAACCCTTTTTGTTAAAAAAAAAAAATCAAACTAAAATGAGAATAAAGCCGTGTTGCATCAGAAAAACAACAACGACTGTTGACGCGGGAGGATTACGCAACGTTTTCTGTCTCACCTGTGTCTGTGGTGTCAGATTACACTGATCACACACACACACACACTCTGTAGTCCCATCGTCTGTGACCAATGACAGAGGCAACGACCTATGACCTCAGAGCCGTGTCCTATTTTAATGTCTGTCCATTGGTCGTAACTGAAGCTTCCGGGATGTGTCGATGCCAAGTATTTACCACTAGGTGAGTAAAGAAAAAGAAAATCCGATCAGCAGTAACTGCGTGGGAAAATGACTCTGGTCCTTGATTTAAGGTGGAATGTTGATTGCGTTAACAATAAATTTTATATACATATATATATATGTATGTTTGGGTATACAGTGTCGTGAAAAAGTATTTGCCCCCTTCCTGATTTCTGTTTTTTTTGCATATTTATCACACACAAAGGTTTCAGATCGTCAAACCAATTTTAGTATGACACAGAGACAACCCAAGGAAATAGAAAATGCAGTTTCTAAATGATGATTTTATTTACCAAGGGAGACAAAAATTACAAACTTGTCTGGCCCTCTGTGAAAAAGTAATTGCCCCCCTTTGTTAAATCACAAAATAACTGTGACTAATCACAATTTTAGGAAAGCTGAGTTCAATTTCACAGACCACACCCACACCTGATTACCACCACATGTGTGTGTTAAATAGAATGTGTCAGACAAAGTGAAGTAGGCTACAAGATCGGAGCATCATGCCACGATCCAAAGAAATTCAAGAAGAAATGAGAAAAAAAGTGATGGACATCTATCAGTCTGGAAAAGGTTACAAAGCCATTTCCAAGGCTTGGGGGCTGCAGTGAACCAATGTCAGTTTCATTATCCACAAATGGAGAGAACTGGGAACAGTGGCAAACCTTCCCCGGAGTGGTCGGCCAGCTAAAATTACTCCAAGAGTGTGACGACGACTCATCCAGGAGGTCACAAAAGAACCTAGAAAAACATCAAAAGAACTGCAGGCCTCGCTGGCCTCAGTTAAGGTCAGTGTTCATGACTCTACTGTAAGAAAAACACTGGCCAAAGCTGGCATCCATGGCAGAGTTCCGAGGCGAAAACCATTGCTGTCCAAAAAGAACACAAAGGCTCGTCTAACATTTGCCAAAAAACATCTTGATGATCCTCAAGACTTTTGGAAGAACATTCTGTGGACTGATGAGTCAAAAGTTGAACTTATTGGAAGGTGTGCGGCCCGTTACATCTGGCGAAAAAATGGCACAGCATTCCATCAAAAGAACACTATACCAACAGTGAAGCATGGTGGTGGCAGTGTGATGGTCTGGGGCTGCTTTGCTGCCTCAGGACCAGGACGACTTGCTGTAATTGATGGAAGAATGAATTCTGCTGTCTACCAGCAAATCTTGAAGGAGAACGTCCAGCCATCAGTTTGTGCGGTCAAACTCCAGCGCTCTTGGAGCATGCAGCAGGACAACGATCCAAAACACACCAGCAGGTCCACCTCTGAATGGCTAAAAAAAAAACAAAATTAAGGTTTTGGAGTGGCCAAGTCAAAGTCCGGATTTAAATCCTATCGAAATGCTGTGGTGTGATCTTAAACGGGCCGTTCATGTTAGAAAACCCTCTAATATTGCAGAATTGAAACAATTCTGCAAAGAAGAGTGGGCCAAAATTCCTCCAAAGACTCATCACCAATTATCGTAAACGCTTGATTTCAGTTATTGCTGCCAAAGGTGGCACAACCCGTTATTAGGTTCAGGGGGCAATTACTTTTTCACAGAGGGCCAGACAAGTTTGTAATTTTTTCTCCCTTGGTAAATAAAATCATCATTTAGAAACTGCATTTTCTATTTCCTTGGGTTGTCTCTGTGTCATACTAAAATTGGTTTGATGATCTGAAACCTTTGTGTGTGATAAATATGCAAAAAACACAGAAATCGGGAAGGGGGCAAATACTTTTTCACGGCACTGTATGTGTGTATATATGTATATGTGTGTATGTATGTGTATATATATGTATATATGTGTGTATATATATATGTGTATATATGTATAAAAAATGAATATTACAGGATTTAATGTTTATAAAGCCACACCCACATCCTGACGTAGGGTTGGGCTGCGGCCTATAGATTGACTCCAAAGTACATCATATGGACCACGCCCTGCAGTGTTGTCTTTTTTTATATACAACACTATTATTTATATATTGTAACAAGCAGGAGGAAGTGTTCCTTTATTACCAAATATATGGCTTGACTTTCTAATAATTTTTATTTTTTATTTGTTGATCGTTGTGCTCCTTGTGTCCCCACCTCAGAGGGGAGAACGTGGAGGAGGCCTTCCTGGAGGCGGCCAAGAGGATCTACCAGAACATCCAGGACGGCAGCCTGGACCTGAATGCCGCAGAGTCTGGGGTCCAGCACAAACCGTCGGCGCCACAGGGAGGACGCCTCAACGCCGACAGCCAACCGGCGAAAGAGGGCTGCAGCTGCTAACCTCACGGAGAAACAGAGACAAATGCAGACAGAGACCCCCGCCCTCACCCCACACCTCCCATCCACCTCCTCCTCCAGGCACTAACATCAACCTGCTGTTTCAAGTGCATTAAATCAAATTTAGCTTGTTCTGTTTTTACAACACGGAACACGGATCGGAATCGTTTCTCATCTCAGTCTTGGGAGAAAAAAAACAAAAACAAAAAAGAAAGAAAATGACAATTCTTAAATTCGGACCAAAAAGGATCATCGGTCTGGAACATCTGGAGAGAGCTAGTTCTAACCAGTCCAGGTCAGAAACAACAACGATGGCTCGTCAAATCCCAGAAGAGTTCCGTCGCTCTTCATCATTCCAAGATTTGACAACGATGCCTGGACCCTGTCTTATCGCGATCTTATCGGGATTTTTTTTTCTTCAAAAATTGGATCACTGTTCAAATTTGTACCCAAATTCCCTACAAACCGACATTCAGCCCAACGTCAAATTTTGAAAACGCCCAACGCTAAACACGGATAGTCCCGAACTGCATCCCCTATGTTTCTGGACTGGATTTTTCCATCTGGACTCTCCCAGCTCCGAGATTCCGAAAGTACTTCGAATTCAAATGTTTATCTGACCTGCCTTCAGTCCGCGTACTCCAGAGGCCCAGTCGTTGCGGTTGAGTGAATCACGGATCAGTAGTAGTATTTGTCGTGTACCTGTGTGACTTGCGATTGTTTGCAGTTCAGTTGAAATGAAATCACTTTTAGAACCGGTGACCGTTCCACGGACTGACTCCGCCTCTGGGACCACTCTACAAAAACAACAACAACGACAACGTCGTTTTTTTTCTGCTTCGTCTCATCATCATCGTCATCTGGGGAAAAAAAATTTCGTGTGCTGAAAAACTCTGCCCTGCGAGCTGCTTCCTGGGAAAAAATCTGCTTCATTTGTCGATCGCGAGTTTGGTCTTAACTCTTGTTGATCAGATAGGGGGCGTTACAGCTGTACTTGTTTCCTGCTCACCTTCGGATACAGTTTAAAACAACACCTTCACATGTCGATTACTGTTCGTACTTATGATATCTTTTGCCTTTTTCTCGCCTTCACAGCTGTTCTGTCTCAACATGGATTTTACTTCAATCATTTTTTTTTAACGAAAACGTGGAGCCAAAGTTCTAAACGTACACACGCGGCAACGACATCAGATCAACAGACGAATCACAGGCCGGCATCGACCTCCGACATGTTCGGTTCTGGAAGTCCAAATGTTGAATTGGAATCAAACCCGCGGCCCGGTGCGAGTCACATTGGTTTTTGTACGTCATCTTATCGTGTTTGACTCTGTATGAATTCATATGTTTTGTGTTGGGGTCCAGATTATAAATGTCGGCCGCCGCTCCGGTTTTACCGTAACGTCCTGTTTTTAAATCTGTTCATCCAATGTCTCGAAAGTTTATCTTTGTGCAATACTTAAAACCTTGAAATGCTTGAACCCAACTTTGCACGGCGTATTGTCTCATCGGGTGGTCCTCCGTCCTGACTTGATGTCGATGGTAACAATCTGAAATTTGTATTTATTTTTTTTCCCCGATCTGCCGTGGAGCAGGAGTTAATTGAAGGTTCGATTCCCTCTTTTGTCTTCATACTGTTCTGTTAATCGTACGACTGGACATGTGTTCGTGTACATTTGGATTTTCACATGTCCCACCTACTAGCCAACTAACCCAGCTCTGATTGGCTCCAGGCCTTTTTTTTATTCAACTATAAATTTCGTCGTCATCACTCGGACACTTCCTGTTTAGTTTCCGTCTTACTAAAAGTCGTTGACTGAATCAACACTGGTTCAGTTCAGGTGTGCAGACGGCTGTTCTGCTTGGACGATTTACACGGCAACCAAAACCAATAGCGTGAAGCTTTGCTCTCGGTTTAGACATCGTGACTTTTGTCTCGATGCTTTGATACGACCTCTCTGTGCTACAGTGGTCGCACACGTGCAGTACTGTGCAGTTACTGTGACGTCATCACCCAAATGAAACGTTCAACTCTTTATTGTATTTTTACGATCAGACGTTGGACGAAAAGGTGCGATACCGATCGCATTTACACTCAAACAACGTGCGGCCATTTTGACCCCATTAAACCAAACAGGAAAGGACATTACGAGTAGTAACTCTGAAAATTGTTTTCATTGCCCCCTAGTGGTGGTTAGTGTAATTTTTCTATCATTGAACCAAAAGAAACCCATCAGCTCAGTAATAAAAACAGATTTTAATCCACGTCCTTCTCGGTCGTACACAGTCTTTTAGAAGATAAGGGGGGGGGGACCCCAGGGTCAGAGGTCAGTGTTGGCAGTTGTGGACCCCCCCCCCCGCGCTCCACTGAGTCTCTGCTCACAGTTCTGATTGACAGCCGACATCACTACGTTGTTCTGCTCTTGGAGGCGGGCTCCATCTCCTGCTCGTACTCGATCTCCACGTACGCTCGCTTCTTCCGTGCCGCTTTCCCATTGGCCGGAGATTTGCCCTTGGACCTGGAGGCCTTGGTCTTCATCTCCTCCTCTTCCTCCTCGTCGTCGTCGTCACTCGACTCGGCCTCTTCATCACTGCTCGTCTTCAATTTGTTCATGTCCTGAAGAAAGAAAAAAAAAATCATCTTCACATCAGGGATTTTACATGAAATATGAAAAGGGGTTTTGAACCCACAACTGCAGTTTTTCCTCTGCGCCTGAATGTGCGTGTGAACATGTTGGTTTATGATCCTAATCAGAGGCTCTTGAATCCAAAACACGATTGGATCAATTTTTGTTTTCCACTTTAGGAAACTCGAGACCGCGTGCTAACCGGTTAGCGTTAGCTTAACTCCTGGAACAACAACCGTCCTCTACTCTCCATCGGGGACAGGTGTTTGGTCTTTGACATTTTACCTCAAAGTCGCTCAGGTCGCTCTCCTCCACTTCGTCTTCTGCAACGTACTCGCTTTTACCGACATCCTGCAGAGGGCGACGGAGAAGCAGCTCAAAATTAAGCTTATCAATGGAAAAAAAAAAAAAAAACTCAGGACAGGAGTCTTCACCTCATCATCTTCTTCCTCCTCCTCTTCAATCTCTGATTCCGACTCGCTCTCTTCGTCCTGCTGTTCCAGGGCTTTGTCGAAGGCGTGGATCGGGAAGTTGTAGATGTCGCCGTACTACAAACAAACACACACAAAAACAGCTAACATGAAATGACTTACAAAAAAGAAATCATACCCCTAGCGTAAATTTGCTATATTTTAAAAGTGTTGGTTACGGTATCTAAGCAGTAGGCGGTCCATCCGATGAGTAAATGGTGTCATTTGTTTCGGACTAAAATTCAAGCTAGGTTTCCTGACCAAGGAATGTTAAGATTGTTAAAAAAAAAAGAGAAAATGACATCTTAAGAAAATATTCCAACGTTTAGCCGTTTCGCAGACTGTTGATTTGAGGCTAATGTCGTTAGCCGCAAGTAGAGAAGCTACGTCTCCGATATGAAATCTGAGCAGCAGCATTTTTGTGTTCCTTAAATACATCTGTAGTAGTTTTTTTTCTCATTTTCACTACAGATGCCAAAAGCAAATCAAACAATTAACAAGACTTAACAACAGGTGGCGGTGTTGATACCAAGTAGGCGACAGTTATTCTTTAGAAACCCTGACTCGTCCTTTTGTAATAAACCAAAAAATAAAAACCTTTATAGATCAGTGTTTATAGCAGGAAATATGTTAATATATTTTCACTTCGGTAGATTGCAATTTTTTTTAAAAATCCTTTGCGATTATCCCAAACTCACCGTCCCCTGTTTGAGTCTTTCCAGCAGCTCCTTCTCGATGGCGTTGTCCAGCTGAGCGGCGATCAGCGCTTTCTCCTACAAACACCAAAGGTCAAGATAAAAACAGTGGATTAAAAAAAAAAAAAAAAAAACACTTTCCGATGTTCGACATCAACAACAAGTTCTGGAGCGGTGACATTTGACCTTACCTCTTTCCTCTTCTCCCGCTGCTCCACCTTCCGGCTCAGAGGAACCAGCTTTCTCCTGAAATACGATTACGATGGTTAAATTCTTAACATTGCCGCGATATCGACAGAAAGAAAGAAAGAGAGAGATCGTGGTTGGGACTTACTGTCTCTTCAGGACCAGTTTTCGCATTCGGATCAGATACTGAGTGATTTTGGTGAATCTCTGTTTACATTTATGTCGCAGGAATCGCGGCCAATAAATCAGGTTCTCGTCGATCTGTTCCAGAGCTTT